CCCCCGCCTCTGGCTCTGAGTCCGCCCCCGCCTCTGAGTCCGCCCCCGCTTTCACCCTTGAGCTCACCGGTGACTTCGGTTCCGATGCCCAGATTGCCAAGTGCACTGCTGCCTTCGACCCCGAGCTCGAGGCCGCCCCCGAGTGCGCCCCCTCCAAGAAGGACAAGAAGTACTGCCACGTCAACTCTTCCTCCACCCTGGTCGCTGGTGCCGCCGTCGTCGCCGCCGTTGCCTCCACCCTGGTTGCTGCCCTCTTCTAAATGGCCTAGCTCCTGGGATCAGCCGCCCGCCTCCGGTCGTCGCCGCAGCTCGTCTCCTCCTCACTGCGTGAGGGGCTGCCCTTCTCTCCCTGACACCAGTCTCCGGGTTTGGGCAGAGATGGCCGGTGGCAGCTGCTTGTCCGCTGCCGCCGTCATGCGCGCTGCCCCCACCGCCGCCATCATTCCCTTGCCAGTTTAGCGTGCTTGTGTGTTGTATGTCTGTGCGTGTGTGTGCGCCGCGCGCATGCGCGAGGCTGAGCCGCGCTCTCCCCCTGCGATACGATACCTTGTTTGGGGGAACATCGCTGCACCGCGCCCCCCCCTCCCCCCACGCACGCGTTTGTGCGCGGACGCGCCGCAGCCTTCCCTGCCCCCCCTCTCTCTGTATCCTCTTTTTGCAACTATACACATATAAACACCTCTGGCTTCCTCCCCTGTGTGTCCTTCCTTCTTCTCCCCCACCCCACCCCCCTCGCGCTGTTGCCAGAGAGGGGCCCGAGCGGGGGGGGGGGGGGCGTGCCCACGCGGCGCGGCCCCGCTCTCGCGCTCTTTCTGTGTCGGTTGAATTTTTCGGCTCAAAAACAGGGTGAAGGGGGGGGGGGATGGGGGAGAGCCGCCTGACCCCCGGGATTTACATGGGTATTTGTGTTTGCCACGCGCGGCCCTTCTCTGTTTATCAGGACTTTTCGAGGGGGGGGGGGGCTACACAAGAGCGTTGCAAAGGGCAGGACCGCGCCCCTCTGTTGTGTCGGCCCCACACTCTCGCTCGCGCCCCGGCGCCCGAGGCACCTGCATTGTTATTGTTCTGCGCGCGCCGTGTGTGTCAGGGCCGGGCCGGGCTGGGCAGGACCAGTCGATAAAAATGACTCCTCCCCGGATTTGAGTCTCCTATCCTCCGGGGTCTTGCTCCGTGCGAGGTCGGCTTTCGGCCTTGGGGGGGGGGACGGAGTTCAGCATAACAGGCCGTTGCAGGCAAGATCTGTTTCCTTTGTTATTCCTTCACCAAGTTCGCTCCAAGGGTAAGGATGACATTACTGCAAGCCGGGCGCCGACTCCCTACCCCCCCCCCCATTTCCCGCCTTGACCTCCTGTGCCGGGCAGGAGGAGGCGGGAGCCGGGCGCACGCGAACCACACCGGGAAAAATGGGCGGCGTAGACTTTTCATGTCCAGCCATGCCCTTGCATACCGGGTTAGCGGGCCCGAAAAATGGGCACCCGCAAACGGGCACAGACAGCGGCGCTGTTTCTCTGAACAGGCCGGCCAGCACGGGCGATCCTCGCGGCAGCTGTGCCTGGGGCCTCCCCTGTTACCTCCCCGAAGAATACCGGAATTACTTCCCAAGGGCCTTCTCGGCTGGCCTGGAAGGGGGACAAGTCTCCGAATTGTCGTCTGCCGAGGTGCCTGGTGCCCGGTGCAGGTTACGCCGCCCCCCCCCCCCCCCCCGGGGAAAAGGGCGGGGGACGGCGGGAGGGAGGGGACCGTCTCCGGGAGCATGCGGTCAAAGGGTCCGACTCGTTTGACATTGGCGCACGCGGCCACGCCGCTGAAGAACATCATTATCGCTCCGAGCCCGAGTGTCACATGGTACAGCATACCCACATCATCACGGGAGCCGGCCGGCCCCGATCCGCGTCTCCCGGGAAAGGGCCCCGCTCATGTCGGTGTTTTCATGCGCCTCCCACTGGTGACTTCCTCCTGGCGAGATGCCGAGAGCCCGCGGTTGTTGTCTGCTCGTCGGTTCCACTCCCGATAGTGCCCGACGCAAACGAGGTCGATGGGCCCGGCGTGTTTACGCGAGTGCGAGCGCGCGCGAAAGGCGATCTGCCCCTCCTTTCTCTCCCTCTCGCCTCTCCTTGTTTTCTCTGCGCCCCGGGCCAGCATGCACCATCACGGCGCAAATGAAAAGAGGGTTTTTTATTTGAGGGAATAATGCAAGAGGAAACACAAAGAGACGCGCGTGTGGGTGTGCGGGTGTATGGGCACGCGCATGGTGGCCATGTTCTACATGACGCACACACACACACACAGGTAGCATTCGGAGGATGATGGGAGGAGAGGAGCCTCCCGCCCACAGGTCGGCTACGCCACGCAGCACATTGTTGTAGCGCATGCATGCACGTGCGCATATGCGCGAGGGGCAGGCCCAACAGGAAGGGGGGGGGGGCGTGCGGGGGAGACACAGAGCACGAGGAGGAGGAAGAAAAAGGCCACCACGCGAGGCGCGCTTTCCCTCCTCGTTGTTGATCTCTCCCCCCTCCCCCCTCCTCTCTCCCTCTCTGGCACTCCTTCTTCCTTGCTCTATCTTGGGGCTGTGTTCCCGGGATCTCGGTGTGCCCAGTAGCGCGGCATCACGCGGACGCCGCCGAGGGCACCAAAGCGAGGATGTATGTGCCTGCACATGCGCACCAGCGCGGTCGCACGCTCATACACACCGCCTCTGTTTGTCTACGGCGAGGCGTCGTTGTTGGACACGTCGACCGCAGCCAGAGACTCCTGGATGCCGGCAACCTCGTCGTCAGCGGCGCCCTCCGAGCCACCCTCGCCCCCGGCCTTGGTGGCCTTGGCGATGGCGCGGTTCAGGCGCGAGGAGGTCTCATTGCAGCGGCGCAGGATCTCCGAGAAGGCCTGGTGCTGGCCCACCTGCATGCCCTGGGTGACAGACTGCTGGGAGCGGTTTGTGGAAATGGCCTCAAGAAGGCTGAGAACGTCGGCCTTATGCAGGGCCAGGATGATGTCATCAGGGGCTGCGCATCGAAGAGAGAGAGAGTGTGTGTGTGTGTCACAGGGGGCAGGAAAGAGGGAAAAGTGGGGGTCAGCTCGCGAGGTCGAAAAAGCATAACCGTGGCATGCATGCACAGGCAAAAGAAAAGCAGACGCAGCGGGAGCGTGCGCCCCTCCGCCCGCAAAGAATGCCCCCCCCCCCCCCCGAGCCCCCGATCAACACATGGGCGCGCGCGCGCGCGCACGCACCATCATTCAGGATGTTGTCAATGGCCCGCACAACGTGGCGCTGGATCTCCAGGTTGGAAGTGTTGCCCAGGGCAATGAGCTGCTCGAGAGCCTCATCCACCAGGGCACGCTTGTTCTCCGGGTACAGGGCCAGGTTCGCCAGACCGCGGGCAATGTGGCGCTGGATCTCCGCGTCGTCCTTCTTCCGAACCGCCAGGCGGCACAGGGCCCCGAGCAGGTGGGTGTGCACCTGCGAGTCGTGGTTGCTGCTGTTGGTGGCCAGGTTGGCGATGGTGCAGCTGGCGTGTGAAAGGGTCTCGCGAACGGTCTCGGTCTCCATGAGGTTGGCCAGCAGCTGGGTACCCTGGGCGCTGAGAATCTTGGGCTTCAGGTCATCCTGGCGCAGGGACAGGTAGGCGAAGGTCTTGGTGATGTACTTGCGGACATGCTGATTCTCGTGGCTGAGGAGGTTGAGCAGCTTGTCCGGGCCATTATGCCGGTCCTCGATGATCAGCTCCTGGTTCTTGGCTGCTCATGTGCATAGCGCGCCGGGGAGGAGGGCGGGCGGGTGGGTGGGAGAGTGAGATTGGCGTGCGAAGGAGAGGGGGAGGGAGAAGCACAGGCAAGACATGTGTGTGGTTGTGGGCCTGTGTGGTGGCGTGCGGCGGATGTGTGGGCGCACAGTTCATAGAAAGGTAAGAAATGGTACGCGCGGCGATCCCCTGCACCGAGCTCAGAGTGATGGCTTGGTTCTGCACAGTCACCGAGGTCGGGCGATTGGGGGGGAGCTTGCGATTGCACATGGCCACCAGCGGATGGAAGCCACCATCCGAGATGACCGAGCGGCAGATGTCCACTGAGGTGAGGGGGAGGGGGAGGGGGGGGGGGGGGGGGACAGGTCAGCTTCAGCATCAGGCCAGCCAGCTTTGTCTGCGCCATCATTCGCCCATGCAAATGGGGTGTCCACACTGCAAGCAGGCAATGGGACACAGGGCACACGTGGACGCACCGTTGCGGGAGAACACAAAGAGAATGTTCACCGCGCAATGCATGACAAAGAGGTTGTTCACCGCGCTATCCTCCTCAGTGCCCTTGCAGATGTTGAAGAGGGGGAGCAGGACACCCTGGTTGAAGATGGTGTTCTGGGCGGTGTCGATCTGAACCAGGGTGTGCAGGGCCTGGATGGCATTCAGGAGGACGTCCTCATTGGTGGAGTTGCACAGGTAGATCAGGGCGCCAATGCCGCCGTAGAGGACAATCTTGCTGAAGCCGTCCTCCTCTGTTGGGCGCGTGCCGGGAAGTGGGTGGCCAGGGGAGGAGGAGGGGGGGAGGGGGCAGGGCGGAGGAGGAAGGGAAGAGAGGAGGGCAGCAAGGCAAGTTAGAACTGCGAGCGATGGGCTATGGGCCGAGGAGGGGAAAGATAGACACGTACGACGGGCCATTTCGGCGATGGACTTGGCCGCGGCGCTCTGCTTCTCGGGAAAGAGGTCGCTCGAGGCATCAGCCACGTAGGTGGTGATGGGAGTGCAAGCGCGGCAGACACGCTCATTCCGGGCGAAGTCAAACTGGGGCATGGGGATCTTCTTGCTCGAGCACGAGTGACAGAAGATGTCACCGCTGTGGTTGTGTTGGGGATCGGGGGGGGGGGGAGGAAAGCAAAGCGAAGGGGAGGGGAATTAGAGGGTGGCTGGGCAGCGGGGGCGGGCGCGGGGAGAGAGAGAGAGAGAGAGAGAGGGAGGGGAGATGGGGAAACATACCACTGGCGGCAGTGGTGCTGTGGGCATCCGCCAGCAGTGTCAAAAGGGCCGGGAGAAGGCAAAGAGAAGGGCAAGGGGGACGGGGACGGGGGTGGGGGTCAGATGTCGGAGTAGCCAATAAGAGGCAGGAGGGTGGAAGCACGCACACGCCGGTTGAGCTGGGTGAAGGGGGCGTGGCACATGCGGCAGTTGGAGACCTCCTCATCCGGGACCCAGGGGGGGGGCGTCAGGCGGAGGGGAGGCCGGGCGCCAGCCGGCAAGACCAGGGTCTTGTTGGAACGCTTCGGAGGCATCTGTCACGGGGGCGGGAGGAGGGATGTGTTAGCCCCGCAGCAGAGGCGACGATGGTCATGGTGGTGGCGGTAGCGGAATGGAAGGCGGTGGTGGCAGCAGCAGCAGCAGCAGCAGCAGCAGCAGCAACAATGCCAACAGCAACAGCAGCGGTCGTTGCATAGGGGGGGAGGGGTGCGAACCTGACCGGAGTGCTGGAGCGGGAAGGTGGATGGGGAGTACTCGCAGCGAGTAGAGGCGAGGCGGCCGGAG